GACGGAATTGAAAACCTTATTGCAATAGAAAAATTCTCTAATCGAATTATTAGTCAAATTTATGTCAATATCCTCAATAACCAATGTGTCTAATTCAACTATGACTCCGAATTCTATTGTGAATTCTATAACTGAAATTAGATTTGATCCAGAAAGTGGATTTATTTTTGAGGTGTGGTTTAAACGCCATGTGGACTTGTTTGTTTATAACTGTAAATAGTGAGACGAGGGTTCAAAACTGAGATTATTATTATTAAGAAAGCTTGGACTGTTCGAACATAAAAAATTCTGTAATTTTATGCTCCCAAAGAAGCCAACCGACATAACCTTCAAAGAGACAGTAGAGTGCTTGACATGTATATTCGGAGAACGGATTATAATCTTCAGCAGATTCATATATCAGAACACGGATTCTAGCGAGAATCAAAGAATGGCTCATTTGAAGCATGACACGAATCTCGTAGAAAAGAACAGTGAACACGTGTGAGTTATTGCTTTACGTAAATCTTTTAACAAAAATAAAGATTCGAACTTCCAGAAAATCCCAAATCAAGTGGAACATAAAACGTCATGTTGGCGATGTGATAAGTTTCATCCTGCCAATGTTTGCTACTTTAAAAAACGAGTATGCTTTCAATGTGGTAAATATGGTCATGCTCAAGTATTTTGTCAAAGTAGGCCGTAAGTTGTTGACCATCAGCATAAGTTCCGTAAAGAAAATGAGATACAGAATTCAAAAGTAATGCTACATAACTCAAATGTTGTTCTGGCCATAAAACTTGACCAGTTCTCCTCGAACGGGCAAGCAGAGAAGTTCGTTGATACTCTTAAGCGAGCTCTCTTAGAGATAGGAGAAGAAGGCAATGTAGAGGAGGCTCTGCAACAATTTCTTGTGTTTTATAGAATTACACCGAGTTCAAACTTTCAAGGCGGGAAATCACTATCTGAAAAAATGTTTGGCCGATCAATTAGATCATTTTTTGATGTTTTGAACCCGAAAGACAGAATGAGTGGATTACAAACAAAAATAAGAAAGGGAATTGCCCGAAAATTCGGGAATTCAAAGCAGGTGACTTAGTGTATGCACGCGATTTCCGGCGTGACTTGGATATTTGGGTGTATAAAAAGACGATGTGGGACAGTATTGTGTGAAGTGATGGTCGAAAATACACTAATTATAAGACAAAAAACAACTGCAAGATAGGAAAGTGTTTATGAGTCATCTAAACTGAAACCTTTAGCAATGCAAGTATTATGTGATACGTTTAATAGTCCACCACCACAACCACCACAAGCTGGGATGAGAAAAAACGATCTGAAATCAGAAGTTAAACGAGGGTCATTCAGTGGAAAGATGGAAACGAACGAGATTTTTTCAAATAAACCCTTATATGAAATCATACGATCAAACTTCACGAAGGAGATGATGTGTGGGTGAGAATAACAATGATTGGTTGTTTTTCTGAGTCAGACATGTAGATAGTGTGCTAGGTTTTACATGTGTTACATATTCCCCTATCCTGATTATTGTTGATTGACTGTCCTTGTTGTTGGATTGTATTGGATTTTGGTGTGGAAGTATATTGACATTCTAGTCAGTCTAATCTAGTGCTCATGAATTGATTTCTGTTGAAGTCCTGTAGAAAGGACACTGGAAACGATTCTAATGTCGATATTCGTCCAACGTAAGTTCACGTCTCACATACGTGAAAAAGTGAAAGGACTGTTATAATAAGGAACCCTATCGTTATAGCACGTATCCTACCATTATAACTGTTTCATTTATTCCAATTATAGCATAAACTAGTAATCTCAGCATCAACGTATCTTAATCAAGAAGTACTAGATGAGCACGAACGAATATACTGTATTAGGAATTCGAAATCACAACAGTCATCCATACCAGGGATTCATAGGTTCATTCAAATACCACATCCGCCACAATTTAAATGAGAATCCAGATTTCTGCGATCAATCGTACCTCTTCTCCTTAGGTTCATCACGTGCCTGCCCAATTCTGTAATAGATGTAGACTCTGTACGATCTAGAATACACCCATTAGTATTAGAATTAACAACCGAAATGAAAACAGACTCACCTGTTTCTTGAAATTGTATACAATCATCATGTTGGTTGTGTATTGAAACCACTGATATCTAGAATTTGATTCATAGAATTTCCAACATTGTCCTCCCCACGAAATAATGTTATTATTATTATCATTAGCTTTATTCAATATTATATTATTTGGTACAAAATCGTATTCTCAGCATAAAGTATCTCAACATGTTTACGTTTCTTATTTCTTCGTTGCTCCTGACGATAAATATTCAGTGATCGCTAGTTAGATGTCATCAGTTCAGTCAACGGACATATGAATAATGTATATTCTTTTTCCTGCATGTTCCCAGCAAACACGATATCTCTGATTAGGCCTTTTGTAACCTTTACAGCGAAAGGTTGTGTAACACGTGGAATCAGCAGTTAGAGAACGGCAGTACGGATCTGAAAAACAGCGCAGCACACAATGTTAAACGAGGACATCACACCAAGAGAGAACACACTGGGAATCACGAGCCTCTTTATTTCAAAATCAAAAAGCGCGCTGAGCGAGAGTACAGCGGGAAGAGTCAGTTTACAAAGTAGTCTTATGAGTCATCCTGTAAGCTTAGTGTACATAGGGCTTGTTCTTCTTCCTCTAAAGAGTATATGTTTGGTCGCCCTGCAACAGAAAGAAAATAGAATGCATTAGTATATCATGCATAGCAATTTCAACTCCGTTACACCTCCCCCTCTCTTAAATAGGTACTGTCCTCAGTGCCTGGTCTCGGACATGGATATGCTGCCCCCTTCTGATGGTACCTCATAAAACATAGTGGCAGGCGGTGGATTGGCGAACTGGGCATCCGAAGAAACTGTCATCCTATCTGGTTTTATTTGGTTATAGTGTACAGTTATCACGTCATCCTGGGGTCGTTGCAAGTTACGTAATACGAACGTAGTGAGGGATCGGATGAGGACGATTTCAAAGGGGCCTTGCCAGGGCTGGTGGAATTTACTGCAACTCCCTGACGATGTCAAGGGACGACATAGCCAAACGCGATCACCGACCTTATACATTGGTCCGTGCACCTAACGATCGTACAAGTCCTTTTGATAATAATAATATATTTCTGCAATAGCAGGTACACGCCATTTTTACAGGCATGATCTACAATTTACAACATATACTGGTTCACAGCATGCATCCGAAGCAAGGTTGTTTAGTAATTATAATCCATAAAAGTTGATAGCAGTTCATTCGTTCAGATATAATGTGTTTTCATAAGAATTGTTTCCAAAGGGGCATAGCGTCCCCGTTACATACCACATCCAATCTCGACAAAAAGTGTATTAGGGTTTCGGTCGTGCTAAGTATTTATGTAATGCAGCTTTTTAAGTTTATAGTTGTTATAAAGTAGGCTTGTGAAGCGCCTGGTTCGAACTATGACCTTGAGAAAGCGCGTTCTGGATTTGTAGTCAGTGAGTTGGTCGTTCTTAAGTATTTTGCGAGTGAAGTCTTACTGTATTCCTTCCACCTTAAGTATATCACATAGGCGTAGGTTGGAAAATAAGAACGAGCAGTATTCGACGATGGGTCTTAAGCAGGCTTTATACAGGACGATTTAAGTTTCGTTTTGAAAGAAATTACGAAGGATGGAGCCAGACAATCTCCGCATTTGAGATGCTTTAGTTGAGATATGTTCAGAGAAGTTAAGACTGTCAGAGTAATGTACCCCAAGGTCAGTTACTGATGTCAGTCTGGGCAGTGGGTTTTTGTTAAGTGCTAGTTTTAGTTTAAATGACGTGTTTCCAATACATAGCCAACCGCATTTCTCTGTGTTGAGCTCTAGCACCCAGCGTTTGCACCAGTCGTCTACTTTGTTGAGTTCATGTTGGATCGTTTGCATAGCACTACGTACATCACCAATGTTAGTTTTATGGATGACTTTTAAGTCACCAGCGTAGAGGTAGGTCTTACCTGTGGTAAAGCACTTGCATATATTGTTGATATAAATTATAAAGAGCAATGGACCCAAAACACTATCCTGCACAACACCACTGGTTAGTGGTCGAGGTGTAGATGTTGTAGAGTTAATCTTGGTTATTTGGTTCTTCGCAGGGCAGCAGGGGCGTCTGTATCTCCACTGGTAAGCGTAATTCATGCCCGAATAATAAAATAGCGAGTGAAAACCCGGTGGAGCCATGTACCGATGTACGATTTGCTAAAAGACACTGAGGGAGGACATCATCCCATAACTCCTGCGACGATCTGCTCACAAACGCTTTCAATATGGCTTTATTACTTCAGTTTGTTCTTTCTACCAGCCCGTTACCTTCTGGGTGATACGCAGTGGTTCGTGTCTTCCTGATTTCCAATAGCTGGCATATCTCGTCGATGAGGTGACTTTCAAAGGCTGGACCTTGATCAGAATGAAGTGAGAAGGGGGCGCCATAGCGGGAAACCCAATGATCGATGAAAGCTCGGGCAACCGTAAGAGCGTCTTGCTGGGGAAGGGGTACTGCTTCCCACCATTTAGTAAAGTAATCTACCATAACCAGTATGTAGCGATTCCCTTTCTTTGTTGTTGTTAATGGTCTCATGATATCTATGCCGACCCGCTGAAGTGGTCCTGTGGTCACCATCGGAGTTAACGGTGCACGAGGTGTCTGTGGAGGCGATTTGAAACGGCAACACGTGTTACAACTGGTGATGGAGGTGTTCACTAAAAAAACGCGATGAGAACCCGAACGAACCGCCGGTGATTCCAGTCAAGCCAGCAACTGGCTCATCACCCCGTCAACCGCCACTCCTGGAAAACTCGTCAGACTATATAGTGTGGAAGTTCAAAGTCACAGCATATCTTCGTAAAGTTCCAGCTTCGTAACATTTCGATTATCTCGTGTCCTACCTCTGCGATGATCTTGTTGACTGTTCGTTCACAGTGTGTTCTGTAGTCATGGCTGGTGTTAACCACGCCTATCAGTACTCCGTGGAAGTGAAGAGCAGGTTCTCACTGTTCCTGGACGACACTCTGAATAGTGAAGACCCGGATATCCTGCTATCCAAGTTGCAAAGTAAGCGAGGTGAAAAAACTAAAAAAGATAAGCCTCATTTGCAACAGCAACATGTGGCACCTATAAAGGTCGACACGATAACTAAGAATGAGGTGAAGGTCGAGACTGCAACTCCAAAACCTGGTTCTCGGGTGTCGAAAACCCCCAACTCCACAGAGCCGCCACCAGTGCCACCTGAAGACGTGCAAATCACATCCGCTAAAGGGACAGATGAGCCAATTAGCACCTTTGGTCGTGGCCCAGGAAGGGGAGCATCTCGAGGAATGCGTGTAGGCAGAGGGCAAGGGCCACGAATGGCTCCAACAGAAGCACCTCAAGGTTCAGTGAGTGATTTGAATGCTCCCAGAAGGCCAAGCTTTGAGCCTACAGGACGTGGGAGAGGCAGAGGAAGAGAAATGTTTGGTCGAAGTCGTGGGTTGCCATTCAATTCAAATCGAGACTTCGACAATCACGATGGTCCAAATGGTCAGGTTCCAAGACAATATGGTCGAAGAGATGGAAATCGGAGTTCTCAGGATGTTGATGGTCAAACAATGCCTGAGAGTGGTGACTCAGAACAAGTTGTGCGTTTCGCAGACGACCGTAACGAAGTCGAGGACCAGCCAGAGCATGGTACAGCGGAGAATGGAGCGGGTGTGATTGTCAGCACAGAAACCGCAGTTGAGGAAGAACCGAAAAGCTGCACATTAGAAGAATACAAAGCTATGCGTCAGTCTTCCAAACCGGCCGTCTTTTTGAACAACAAAGGTCTACGCAAAGCTTATGATGGCAAAGATTTGTTTGCAAACATGGTGGCTCACAGAAAAGTACAAGAGGTTTCCAAAGATATCTACGAGGTGGAGGAGAAGGAAAACGAGCCTGAGGAGCATCAGTCGATCGACATTGATTTCTCTTTCGCTGACAACTTTGGAAGCCGTAGAAGAGGTGGACGAGGATTCGAAAGCAGAGGGTTCGATCGTGAACGTGGTAATGCACGCGGTGCGGGACCAAGAAGTCAACGTGGGAGTCGAGGAAGAGGTCAGATAAGGAGTGACGGGAGAGGTAGTGGTTTCGGTCGTGTTTTGCCTGTTAACGATCAAATTCCACCTCCAGCAATTTACAACGGCCAGGAGTTCCCTTCCTTGAATTGAATTCTCGAAGGAAAATGAAAATAGAATGCATTGGCATATCATACATAGCAATTTCAACTCCGTTACAGTTGTACAGTATTCAGAAACGCACCTGAATAGGTTGTGTGCTTAACAGCCATAATAAGACAGATATTTTAAGATATGAAACCAACAGTCTATTCATTGTTCTACCATCGATATTAAGATACAATTGTATGATATAATACAAATGAACTGTCTATTTCAAATACATATCCAAGTAAGATCTAAAAAAGCGATTTCGTCAAGGAACGGGTTTTCCATGTCGACAATCACAGTTCATAATAAAAACTGATTACCCAAACAATCATTGAAAATCAAAAAAATATTAAACATCTATTCTGTCCTACAATGAAGTCCACGAACATTTCTCTCCCATGACCGCATCAACGACCAACTCCGAAACGTTCAGATAACGTGAGCGGAGCTTGATATTTCTACCACCAAATAGGTCCTCCGTTTTCTAAATCCTTCACTTTTCGTTTACAATAAATAAAGTGAGCGCAAAAATACGTTAACTGAAAAATCGACTGAGTCTAATTCGTCAAATATCAAAAGAATCATACTTACTTCACATAGATAGCTAATAGCATGTATATCAACATTCCATTCATATTGTTTAGGGTAGTTTCCATATTGATACGAAAAGATTACGTGTTACACTTTAGTTTAGAGTGCATCTACTCGAACAGAGTTGGTGGAGTTACAGCCTATGGCGAACTGTCATCAGAAATGATGACCCTAAGTGGTGTTCGTCAGTCCTGCCCACTTTCTCCATTCTTGTAACGGGTACTAGGTAAGGATGGGAAATCGATTGATGAAGTAGTGAAACTTCATCAGTTGAGATGGCTGGAACACGTGTTACGTATGCCCAACCACCGACTGCCCCGACGTGCAATGCTTTATGGTATAGAAGTAGGTTGGAAGAAATCTAGGGGGCGCAAAACGAAACGTGGTACAAATCCAGGAAGTCACTGACAAGTGGACTGAGTCATGTTGGTAGTTGTAGACTGGTTGGGATTCGCGAGATGATAGCAATCGATGGTTAGAGACCTTAAATGACATGGCTCAAAATCGTTTGCAATGACGAAGGTACATCCACTCTTTGTGTTCTACTATATTCTAATCTTCTAAATTCTTCATGTCCCTTTGTTTTTTCTCTTTTCAATTTTATTTCACTGGATCATACTCCTTCAATAACATCTTCAAACCCTAATCTTTCCCATTACGGCTTATACTCTTAATACTCCTACCACTATGGGATTTGAATCGACAACTGCATCTCTGTGCTAATGTGGTAGGGCAACTCGAACTGATGTACGTACGTTGTGACTGACTAACTGATTGTATCACATGACAAAGTAAATTTCACAATTATATGTCAAAACAGGTGTCATTGAAAACAAGACAGTGGAAAGGATAGACTTAAAAGAGTAAAAAGCTTTCAAAATATCTTTGCATTTACGTTGATAAAGGAAATCATGTGAAATCAAATTGTTTGAAGACACATCAAACGAGCAGCCGACTACGTGCCTTGACTTATTGATGATTATCAACATGAAAGACGTTTGAGCGTATCTCCGATTTATTAGTTTATTGAATTTAATCGATTGAGAGGTACAGGTGAATGTTAAGCAAACGGACTTATCAACAGCACAATTACTTTCCATGTGTAAAATTGAATATTATCAATTCATATGACTCCAAAAATATTTTACCATGATTTGACAACTTACAATTTCAGAACAATTGAGTCGAATGTTTATGAGTTACTATTGAGCAAACAGTGCAACACAGACAGTTCATAATTGGGATTCAATGTGCATTGCATTAGAATCAATTTGCTTATTTTGCAAACAACAGGATATAGAAAAGTTGAATCTCAATTCCCTTTACTGCAGTCATCACTTTCGTAAATCGTATTCGAAATCATATTGTCGATGAATATGAATTTGTCAATATCACAACAATTTTGGAATAAATTGTTCATTCTGTTGAACAGTTGTTTCGTCGTAAGTCAATCTACTTTGTTCAAGTCTCCCATTCAAGATATTTGGCATTGTTCTTCTTGTGTTAGGCATTAAAGCACTTGAAACAATGAACGAATTCGCCAAAATTTTCAATGGGTTAACACCACTTATCATTCCAACAGCAATCTTCATAGGATGCCTCATTCTAGTAGGTACATTTATTGGATACATTGGATTTTGGAAACCGAAACAGTTCATTATCATACTGGTAAATATTGAATCATTTGTCTTTTCTATCAACCAACATGATATTCTTCTGTTCTCTTTACTTGTGTATAGCACATTGCATGTTTATGTCTTGCAGTGATAATAGAGATTACCATAGCCACAATGACGGCTACATCTGGAGAAAAAGTTGGTTGAATGTTTAATATGAGCATGTTGAAATTATTTGTGTTTTTGTGTTGAACAGTTTCAAACAGCCGCTAATCATTCAGTGGTAAACGCTGTGAAACAATTTTACACAAACCCTTATCTTCAAGTAGAAATGGATAATCTACAAAAGAATGTGAGTTATTCATCAAGTATTTGGTTTCAATAATGCTCCATAAACATACTTACATTTCATTCTTTTTCAATAGTTCAGTTGTTGTGGATCTATGTCGTATGAGGATTATATAAAATCAAAAATAAAGGTGGCATCCTCGTGTTATGTTGGTAAATTAGTTTATGCACGAGTAAGTTGTGAATTATTTATGATATGAATTGTGCATAGAGATCATCTTGACGTTTTATTAAAACTAAATTATCATCCAAAGTTTTGTGGCGATCTTGAAAGAAATCACATTGTAGCGTCATTATAGTCTTTCAACCGAATTTAGATATCACTAAACCGACCTATTAAGTTCCGATGAGAGAATTGTTGTCACCGGAACAGGATGACACGTAGTTAGTGTTATGTTTAAACCATCAATGTTACATAATACAACCATTCCACTGAGAATATTATCTCCGGACTCGTGTTTTCAGATGAACGGTTTGACTCCATGGTACTTCTCATTTTGTATTTTGTTCCATCCAGTCTTCTGTGGTCATTTACATACAGTTCTCAATATTGATTTAAGCTAATTACATTATGTATATTAGTCAGCTCTACGTGAATGATTGGTGTTTTCAAATTTTTGCGAAAGATTGCCAGCTATTTTAGTATTCTATGACAAATCAAATGTCACATATCTGTTTTATTTTTAGTTAATATGGCATATTTCTATGCAATCAGAAGGTTGATTATCATCTAGTCCTATTTGTCACATCATTATCTTTGTGCCGTTAGTTGACAACAGTATTCTAATTAAGAAAACAATACTTCCCAATATTCCGTTCAAAATGTGCCTTCTGAGCTTCAGTTAATGTTCATGGACTCTGTTGAAAAAAAATATCCAAGAACAGATCTGAGTAGACGATGGTAAAACTAGTGAAAACTTTAGAAAACCAAAAATCAGGAAAGGAGTTTTCTTACGACCCAAAATGGTACGTACATCATTTTCCCAATATCGAACTGGATAAAATACTGTTAGAACCTTTGTCTCTGAGACCTAAATTTTGTGATAGTAGACATAGAATCAACCAATTAGATATTGATGTACGGTTCGGAAATATATTCTTTGTGAGTTTCAGATGATTTCAATTACTTTTGCTTGTTTGCATAGCATCAACGCAACTCTTTGTGTATGTGGAGCACTTTCTTCTTCATCACCGAAGTATTACAGAAGCTGAAGATAGTCGTTGTTGTCAAACCTCAGTTGAATGGGTTCCACTGATCGAAAACACCTACAGATTGTATTTCCTCATTTCTGCAGCAATTAAGAAGACTCCCATGGTCTCTCACATCGTCCGGAGGTTGTATGTACCTATAAACAGATTTGCTCTGGTTGTTAGATGGGACATCGGCCTCGTGACTTCCAAAGAATCTCGGCTAACATCATGAGGCGTCATAATTTTTCCTTGATCTCGCAGGGCAGAGTTAAAATGGTTGGAATAATGTTTCCTCGTAAGCGTTTTTATAGTGAGTTAGTTTTCTACGAGATGAGGTCGTAAACCTCATGCCCAACCCTCCTTCTTTATCCGGATTCTGAACCACCAGTAGCCTCCGGAGGAACCACAGGCGGAGTTAAATATCATTAACATTTCAACATTACTTTGTAATTATGTAACTCGTTACTTTCATCTTTCCTACTTCGTTTTCTTTGCTTCTATATATTATTAGGGTTGTGTGGAAGCATTCAATGATTATCTACAACAATATATAGTTGCCTTGATTTCTTTATGCTTTGTATTTGGAATTATCAAAAGTGTTTACTTGATTATCTCCATTTATTTATTTAAAAAGTCAGTTACCATGGGAAAGGTAACGTCATAGAACCAGTCGGTATGATCAAATGAAGATGATAAGTTACAATGCAATTAACCAATTATATCGTTCACATCACCAACCACCAAATCCTGGAACAATCTTCATTAACATAAATTTGGATTATAATTGATTAAAGTAATTTCATATGACATCTAGCAATCTCTACATCATAAATACTATTAGTTGACATGTATACTTTTCTCAATACTCCATGGTTGTTATAATTTAAGTACATGGGTAATGATTATGTAATTGAACTAATGTCAAATAATGTTCTTTTAAATAAAACTCTCTCTTTTTATTTCGCAACGTAAATAATTGTTTTCCAAAGAGGGTTTTGTTGAGATTTTAGTAATTTTATAGTTGAAATCATCAGTCGATTGAAGCTAGATCACCATGGAAAACATGGAAGTACTGGTAGGTCGTTTCACCCTATTGTGGTACACTACAGCAGTGCTCATCCACGATCCTGCCCCGCGAGATTCGAAACCAGAACCTGTCAGTCTCGTGAGAGAGCGCCTAACATCTAGACCAATGAGCCGGCATGTAAACCGATCCCATTATAACATGAATATTATCTTCTGTTATTAGTAACATTA